GCCGCCTCCTGGGCCAGCCCTGCCAGCACCAGCAGGTTCTCCCGAGCCTTCAGCGCCACACGGCTCTTCTGCGAGGAAGAGGAGGAGGAGGGAGGGGTTGTCACATGGCTGGCAGTGCCCACCATCCCCTCCTGCCACCCCCTGTTTGCCCGTACCTTGCTCCTGCACAGCCCCACCAGGGCGGTGACGAGGTTGCTGTCCCTCTGTGGTGGGCAGGGCTGGGCCGGGGGGCAGCTGGCAGTGGTGCCCGGGGGATGCTCCACACCCTCCTCCCTGGGGCTGTCCGGCAGCTCCTGGGCTCTCCTCCCGTTCAGGACGCTCTTTCCCTGGAGAGGAAGAGGAGCAGCGAAGGAGTCACCACCTTCCTCCTCCTCCTCCTCCTCACCCCAAGCTTTGCAGCTGCAAAAAGGGGACCCCAAATTGTCCCACCTGCACTGGGGGGGGGCTGCTCACCTCCAGGATATACGGCAGCAGGCTGGGATCCTGCTGGATCTTGGAGCAGAGGACAGCGGCGAACTGCACCTCCTCCTTCTCCGTGCCCGAGCCCAGGCGGCCGCTGCTGAGCTGGAGCAGCTTCTGGGGAGGCAGGGAGAGAGGGATGCGGGAATTCTGGGGGCTCTCCCACCCCCTCTCCATGGGCACCGCTTCCCGGGGGGGGGTTGGCAGGGATGCAGCCAGCCCAGGGATGGGACCTCACCTGCACCGGCCTGTGCACGTTGAGGTAGTGCAGGAGGGGGTGCTGGACCTGCCCCAGCACCCGGCTGAAGAACAGCAGGACCTGCTGCCTCATCCCGGGGGGATACTGGGAATGAGACATGGGGAGGAATCAGACAGAGCCCAGTTACCTGATTTCCCTGTAACTGCCCCAAATCACCCACTGGTTCACCCAGGGAGGTGCCCCAAAACAATGCATGGACCCCCCCAGCACATCCCACCTGCCCCGGGCTCCCTTTAACAATCAGGGATTTAACTCAGTCCTCTGCACTGAAAAATCATTGGGGGATTATTTCCCCTTTTCCCAGCGATGGGGAGTTAAACCCCAGCACCCCAGCACCCCAAATCCTCACAGGCACAGAAAGGCCAGCACGTTTCCACAGCCCACACCACACTTACACCTGAATAAAAATCTATTTATAGGGACCTCATTATTATTAGCAATAAAGGAGCAGTAGAGCCGTTATATTTGGGCAATATTTACTTTTCCAAACCCTCCTCATCCCACAAAGCCAAGCAGTGATATGCCAGCTCTTTCTGCACACACGGGGATGAGATGGGGTGCAAGAGCCATTCAGAGGAGCCCCAGAAAGGATCCCAATGGGGATCTTAAATGGAGGAATCCAAGACTCCCTGAAAAAAGCCAAGTTTCCCCTCCAAAAAGCCAAGCCCCCCGACCGTCTCACGCTTCACAAAGTCTCACTTCCAGTAAAAATGCTCAAAAATCAAAATTACTGAGTGGCACCACATCAAGGAGCTGGAAAAGACTGCGAGTACTCCAGCTCTGGGTGGGGGGGCTCCTTCCCCCTGGAGCCGTTTTCCCGGCGCTGGGACACCCACCTCGGCCTTTCCCAGCGTGCCCAGTGTCTCCAGGAGCTTGTGCTGGAGCAGGTACTCGAGGCACGGCCCCGTCTCCCCCGCCGGCTGCTGCTTCTCCTCGTACACCAGGATATCCAACATCTGCTTGAGGCGCCAGGGAATGTCCGTCTGCCTGGCCGGGATGCTCTCGTCTGTGGACACAGGGATGGGGGGCTGCGGCGTGTGCCCCCCGCCCCGCTCCCAGGGCACGCGGCGAAGGGA